CACTTGCCTTTATGGTCAGTGCGTTGATTATAGGAGTTGGGATGTCATATTGGGGCTCTGCAGGACATTGGTTAGGCCACTTTTAGAATACTGTATTCAATTCCAGTCTCTGTAGGAAAAATGTTGTTAAGTTTGAAAGGGTTCAGAAAAGATTTACAAGGGTCTTGCCCGTTTTGGAGGGTTTGAGCTATAGGGATAAAGTGAATAAGAACAAAGAACAAAGAACAAAGAACAAAAGAACAAAGAAAATTACAGCACAGGAACAGGCCCTTTGGCCCTCCAAGCCTGCGCCCATCCAGATCCTCTATCTAAACCTGTCGCCTATTTTCCAAGGATCTGTATCCCTCTGCTCCCTGCCCATTCATGTATCTGTCTAGATACATCTTAAATGACACTATCGTGCCCGCCTCTACCACCTCCGCTGGCAATGCGTTCCAGGCACCCACCACCCTCTGCGTAAAGAACTTTCCACGCATATCTCCCTTAAACTTTTCCCCGCTCACCTTGAAATCGTGACCCCTAGTAACTGAGTCCCCCACTCTGGGAAAAAGCTTCTTACTATCCACCCTGTCTATACCTCTCATGATTTTGTAGACCTCAATCAGGTCCCCCCTCAACCTCCGTCTTTCTAATGTAAATAATCCTAATCTACTCAACCTCTCTTCATAGCTAGCGCCCTCTATACCAAGCAACATCCTGGTGAACCTCCTCCGCACCCTCTCCAAAGCATCCACATCCTTTTGGTAATGTGGCAACCAGAACTGTATGCAGTAATCCAAATGTGGTCGAACCAAAGTCCTATACAACTGCAACATGACCTGCCAACTCTTGTACTCAATACCCCATCCGATGAATGAAAGCATGTCATATGCCTTTTGACCACTATCGACCTGTGTGGCCACCTTCAGGGTACAATGGACCTGAACACCCAGATCTCTCTGTGCATCAATTTTCCCCAGGGATTTTCCATTTACCACATAGTTCGCTCTTGAATTGGATCTTCCAAAATGCATCACCTTGCATTTGCCTGGATTGAACTCCATCTGCCATTTCTCCGCCCAACTCTCCAATCTATCTATATTCTGCTGCATTCTCCGACAGTCCCCTTCACTATCTGCTACTCCACCAATCTTAGTGTCATCTGCAAACTTGCTAATCAGACCATCTATACCTTCCTCCAGATCATTTTTCAATATCACAAACAACAGTGGTCCCAACACGGATCCCTGTGGAACACCACTGGTCACAGTTCTCCATTTTGAGAAACTCCCTTCCACTACAAGTCTGTTTCCTGTTGCCCAGCCAGTTCTCTATCCATCTAGCTAGTACACCCTGGACCCCATGCGACTTCATTTTCTCCATCAGCCTACCATGGGGAACCTTATCAAATGCCTTACTGAAGTCCACGTATATGACACCTACCGCCCTTCCCTCATCTATCAACTTTGTCACTTCCTCAAAAGAATTCTATCAAGTTGGTAAGACATGACCTTCCCTGCACAAAACCATGCTGCCTATCACTAATAACCCCATTTTCTTCCAAATGTAAATAGATCCTATCCATCAATATCTTCTCCAGCAGCTTCCCCACCACTGACGTCAGGCTCACCGGTCTGCAATTACCTGGATTATCCTTGCTACCCTTCTTAAACAAGGGAACAACATTAGCAATTCTCCAGTCCTCCGGGACCTCACCCATGCTCAAGGATGCTGCAAAGATATCTGTTAAGGCCCCAGCTATTTCCTCTCTCGTCTCTATCCTCCTGAGATAGATCCCATCCAGACCTGGGGACTTGTCCACCCTAATGCCTTTGAGTACCCAACACTTCCCCCCCCTCCTTATGCTGATTTGACCTAGAGTAATCAAACATCTATCCCTAACCTCAATATCTGTCATGTCCCTCTCCTCGGTGAATACCAACGCAAAGTACTCATTCAGAATCTCACTCATTTTCTTTGACTCCTCGCATAACTTCCCTCCCTTGTCCTTAAGTGGGCCAATCCTTCCTCTAGTTACCCTCTTGCTCCTCATATACGAATAAAAGGCTTTGGGATTTTCCTTAACCCTGTTTGCAGGGGCTATTTTCCCAAGGGTATCAGAGGCTGAGAGGTGACCTTATAGAGGTTTATAAAATCATGATGGGCATGGATAAGGTGAATAGCCAAAGTCTTTTTCCCAGGGTAGGGGAGTCCAAACTAAACGGCATATGCTTAAGATGAGAGGGGAAAGACTTAAAAAGGGACCTGAGGGGCAACTTTTTCACACAGAGGGTGGTTCGTATGTGGAATGAAGCAGTAGACGCAGTTACAACTTTAAAAGACATTATAGGATATATAAAAGATGGGCTCATGAATAGGAAAGGTTGAGAGGGGTATGGGCCAAATGCTGGCAAATGAGACTCTTAATTTGGCAAATCTGATTGGCATGGATGAGTTGGACCAAAGGCTCTGTTTCGTGATAATGACTCTATGACTCTATAACTGAAGACTGTGCGTCCATGAACCATCAGCACAATGGGCCATCAGCAGGAGAACTGTATTCAGTCACAATATGTAACCTCATGGCCCGGCATACAACCCCACACTCTACCATTACCATCAAGCCAGGGATTAACCTTGATTCAAAGAAAATTACAGGATGGCATTTCAGGAGCAGCAAAGGCATAACTAAAAAGATGTCAACTTAATGAAGCTACAACACAGGACTACTTGTGTGCAAAACAGTGTAAGCAGCAAACAATAAACAAAACTGAGTGATCAGACAACCAACAGATCTAAGCTCTGAAGTCCTGCCATATTCAGATGTGAATGATGACAGACAAATTGAACAATTCACTCGAATTGAGTTTCCACAAATATCCCAATCCTCAATGCTGGGGGAGCCCAGGAGATCAATGAGAGACAAATCAAGAGTATTTGCAAACATCTTTTACCCAGAACTGGCAAGTGAATGATCCATCTCAACCTCATCTGGAGGCCACCAGCATCACATATTCCATTCATTCTATATGATACCAAGGAATGGCTGAATGCACTGTATACTTCAAAGTCTATGGGCCTTGACAATATTCTGGCAGTAGTAATGAAGACTTTGGCCCTAGAACTAGCCACACTCTGAGCCAAACTGCTCCAGTACAGTTACAACTCTGCTTTCAGTTATTCAACAAATAACCTGCTCACTGACACTCAGTTTGGGCTCTGCCAGGCCCATTCAGATCATGCCTTATTACAACATTAGTCCAAAAATGGACAATAAGCTAAACCCAAGAGGTAAAATAAGAGTGACTGCCCCTGACATCAAGGCAGCATTTGATTGACTGTAGCAGATCAAATTCAATATGGAGAAGAGGTAATGCATTTTGGTAGGAAGAACAAGGGCAGACAATAGAAAATGGTGGGGGACAATACTCAAGGGTAAGGGAGGTGCAGGAGCAGAGAGACCTGGGCGTACATGTGCACAGGTGACTAACAATGGCAGGACAGAAGCAGAGAACATTTAATAATGCTTACTGTATCCTGGTCTTTACTCATTGGGATATAGGGTAGAAGAGGAAGGAGGTTACACTAGACTTATGCAAGATACATATTAGATCTCAGCTGGAGTATTGCATGCAGCTCGGGGTGTCATACGATAGGAAGGTGTAAACACATTGGAGACAGTGCAGAAGAGACTTACACCAATGGTTCCAGGGATGAGAATAAGTTATAAGGATAGGTTGGAGAGGTTGGGACTGTTCTCCTTGAAGAGAAGGATGCTAAGAGGAGATCTGTTAGAACTATCAAAATCATGACAGACCAGATACAGAACATAGAGAGAGAAACAGTTCCTATGTAAAAGGACTGAGAACATGAGGGTATAGATTTAAACTAACTTACACACAGAAAGGGTGATGAGAGAGAGTGACATAACACAATGATTTGTACTTGGAATGCACTGCTTGGAAATGTGGTCTAGGAAGGCTCAATTTAGGAACTTGAGAGGGCACCAGATGCTTGTTTGAATACAAACTAATGACAAGGGTGTAGACAAAGGGAATAGCACTCGGTCATAATGCCCTTTGGACAGCCAGTGCAAAAATGATAGATTGGGAGGCATTCAATTGTAACACTTCTGTGAGTTTGTGATGTGTTTCTCCTCAAATGTCTGCCTGAACGTATTTGTTTATCACAGGCTGTAAAATCTTCCATTAGCAGGACAGCTGAACGGTATTTTAGAACTTTTGGCCAGTGCACACGACGGGCTGAATGGCCACCACCTGTACCATAACCATCATGATTCTAAAAAGTGTTTTATTTTAAAAAGTATTCATTTACATAGTAACTGTCACAATTTGATTAAACAACTGAAAACGTACCACAAAAATAAGATTTTACATCAGTGCACTCTATCACTTGAGCATTGTTGTTTTAAATAACAATTAATAACTTCAGAAAACTATACAGAATCATCTGCTAGTTACACTGGTGTACAATGGTCAGTTTTTTAGAAAATTCAAAAAGTTACATTCAAAAGCTTTTAAAATGTTCCTATTAGTGGTCTTACACCCAAAATAAAAACAGCATAATTTTAATACCCGTCCTGAAGACTTCCAGATAGACACAGGTCATGGAAACTCACAATATGGATTAGTTTGAACTGGCGGCTTGGCCAGTTTTATCAGTGAGACCTGCATCAAGTGATATTGTTTGAACTAGTGCAAATCGTAGAAATATAAATTGTGCTTGAAATTTGGATTTTTGCACTGGTTTAGCCATTTTCAGGCAAATTACACTCATTTAAAAAAATGCAAACCTCCAGGCCATGAGATAGTCATCGGGAGAGCCTAACATTAGCATCAGTAGCACTCCATGTTTCAGGGAAACTAGAAAAAAAATTTACTAGAAGAGAATAAAATTAGAGATATGTAAGAGATCCAATACAGCTTAGAGCACACTATCTGATGAACAATCTCCAGGAAAAAAAACAAAATTTGTGGATTAAAAGGAGACTACACCAAAGATTTCATAGGATCTACTTTTAATTGGAACTATTCCATTACATTTCTGGAAGAACTCACTTAAAAGGAAGACAGGAAAATAAATACAGTTGTTTGAACAAATAACATTAATTCACAAATTTCAATTATTCACCTGTTCAGTCCAGAAATGAGCTTCCAATCACATTCCCCTGCCATCATCAAGAATGCTGATTTCCCCCTGCAACATTGTTCAACTCTGTCCCCCACCTCATCTTAATTGCTGCTGGAGCCCTCAATCATGCCTTTTTACATCTTGACTTGATTCTTCCAACCTACCCTAGGTCAGCCTCCCATGTCCTATTTTTGTACACTTGAGGCAATCAAAAAATCTGCTGCTTGTGTCCCTAGCTCCCAGTGCATCCGATTCACCATACAAATTTTTAAATTGACCACCATGGCCCTCGTCCTTACGGACCTATATTAACTCCAGATCAAGCAACATTTACAAATTAAGGCTCACATTCTCGTTTTCAAATCCCATCATGTCACCACGTTAGTTCTAAAATTTTCACCAACTCTACAACACATCCGACTCCCAAGACAGCTGCATGCCTCTAATTCTGGCCTCTTGAGCATCTCCAATTTTAATTACTCAACCACCGCTGGCTGTGTTTTCAACAGTCAAGCTCCAAAGCTCTGAAAATCTGTCTTTATACCTCTCCAATTATCTTTTAAGGTATTCTTGAAAATCTAGTTCTTGCACCAAGCTTTTGGTCATCCTCCCTAATATTGCATTTGTGACTCGTCAAATTTTGTGACGCTCTTGTGAAGCACCTTATAATACCATATTACATTAAAAAGATGCTATTTAAAGTTACCATTATTTGCTTTAAACAGAACAGTAAAAAATACATCTTAAGGATCGTGTTTTTGTCTTCGATATTAAAACTATCGCTGGTGGAGAATGGAACATTAATACCAAAAAGAGTGGAATATGTTCCTTTACCTCTGTCACCAATGTCAAAAGTAGGTACTCCCAGATTAGATGCAACTCTGGCAAAATATTAAGTATTTTCAACATTTCTTAGTCAAAAATCTTAGACCACATTCTATAGCAAATATGCAGATTAGTGCTGAATTGTAAGCCATTTTATTCTGTGAGCCTTACTGTAGGAACAATAAAAACGATTGTCAATCCCAAATGTTTTCTTGTGAGACCCATCAAGTAGACACAGAATTGACTTTCATCCTGTCAGTCTAATCTAAATTTGAACCCAGCTCATGCAAGATAAAAAAGGACAGAAAACTGTTCATATCTGTCTTATATAATATTTACATTTTTTTTTAAAATTGACTACCATGGTTAAACTTTATTACTGAAACCTTGCTTGAATTAATATATTTTCCTCCAAGAACGTATATACAAGTAGAAAGGAAGCATTGTATTTCTCTTCTGCAGATTGGGATGAAACACATTGAAATCGACTTTATGGATTCTGTCCAAATAGTCATCGAGAACAACCTACAAGTAAACAAGTTCAGCATGGGTTAAAAATAAAACAATGCAAAGTTTCAAAACACTAGGGAGAATAGAATTGAAGCTCACCGTTTGCAAAAATGCTGGGTAGGCCTTTGAAGGAACATTTTTACAGAATGATCGGGCCTAGGGAAAAACATAATAGATAACACATTTCATCTGGTAATAACAATTAGATTAATAAATACAAATGAGTAAGAAAAGTATGGAAAGGAAACAGCAGAAAGATGAGTGGAAAGAAGAAAATAAAACTGATAGTCAAAGCTGAGCTGGGGAAATATAGGAGTCAGATGACACACAGCCAGAAAGACTCAGGTGGCAATAACAGAATGCACTAGAACCAGAGATGGAGAGAAAGATGAGCCTACAGACATATCGTTAATTCTGTTGAAACAGAAATACATACGTGTTCAAGATGAACATGCGCCTGACTTGCTACATCGAATATGACATCCCTCACATTTTTTCCACAGTTTCCTCGAATAAAATCTTCTTGGGACACACCATGCTAAAAAGGATAAGATCAGTAAATTGACTTCAGCCAATACAATTCACTGAAAATGAAGTCAAACTAAAGGGGGAATCATTGACTACTAGCACAAAACATCATGTTACAAAGTACAAAAACTGTGCTACTCACAGGTAAGACGTGTATACATTTCCAGATTCTGAATTTATAGCATTGATGTATCAAATCTTTCTTTTAGTTTCACAATGCTAGTGTTTTATGTACATATGTCCTTTAGATAACACTGAAGGGCAAGGATAATCTCCTCTTCCAAATGAGTAACTGCTTCCTCAAAACCCTTTCTCCTACATCTACCAGCAAATGCAAGGAAACCTGAGAATGTTTTGTCTTCTCAACAGTTATCAACTCTTTCCACTCCCACTCCAACCACTTCTTCACCAATCATTGGTAATGCAATTTCTGTATTTTCTTCTCTTATTTCCTGTTCCCTAAATTCTAACCCCCACTCAATTCCTGATCCTAACTGCATACAACAAGGCCTGCATCATTTTCAGGCTTAGGCTGATAAATGGCAAGGTCTATCACTCTCCAATAAGAGAATGCCACATAGATACTATGGTTACAAGAATAGATCAAGGACTCTGTATTCTGAAGTGATGAACTCATTGCTAGACATCTATAGTCTTTCTAGAATTTACAAAGCACAGGTCAGGAGTGTGATAAAATATTACACATTTACCTTGTTGAATAAGCTCCAATAATACTCAATGTTTGACACATCCAGAACAAAGCAACCCACGCAACTGGCACCCCCTCTGCCAACAGTGCACAGTGGCTGCCATATGGACCATCAAGAGGACTTCAGTAATTCAGCAAGGCTTCTTTAACTATTCGTTCTAATTTGGCCACCTCAACCACCTAGAAGGACAAGGGCAGCTGGAACATAGGAACACTACCACCTGAAAACTCCCCTCCAAATCATGGATCATTCCTGACTTGGAAGTATAACACAATTTATTCACTGTGGACAAGTCATAGTCCTGAAAACCCCTACTTAACAGCTATACAGACGTATCTACTCCATGTAGACTACAATTTCAAGTGGACAACTCACCTACTCAAGGATGATAAATGCCTTTGTCAGCGATGCTAACATGCCATGAATAGCTGCAAAGGTAAATAGTTGCTGTTGGTCCCCATGGTAGGTAATGTAGGAGCCATCACACTTGCATTTAAAAGTAGCTGTTATCCTTTTAGCAAAATTGGCTAATTTTAATCTATCCCTCATCTAATATCCCATTTCCTTTACGCCAAGTCTTACATTTTGATGTTGCTGTTTAACTATATGCCCATTTTTCCTGAAACTTCCTATTCAAACTTATGTAGTCTGGTTTCTGGCTTGTCTCACCAATGAGGTCACTTTGGCTCAACTCATGAAAAGATCCTGCAAAACATTGGCAGTGATTCAGTCTCACCTCTTAATTCTCCCTGGCATTTGGTCATATATTTTAGGCCACTCGAAAGTAGATTAATTTCAAGAAAATTATATGGTAGAGAGAAACGGTAAACTTCTGCATGGACAAAACAGACTTAAATATTTAATATTACTGCCATCTAGTGTTATAATCAAACAAGAAATTACTTGTTGCCAGTTGGGTGGGTTGCTTTGTTCTGGATGTGTCAAACATTGAGTATTATTGGAGCTTATTCAACAAGGTAAATGTGTAATATTTTATCACACTCCTGACCTGTGCTTTGTAAATTCTAGAAAGACTATAGGTGTCTAGAAATGAGTTCATCACTTCAGAATACAGAGTCCTTGATCTATTCTTGTAACCATAGTGTCTATGTGGCATTCTCTTATTGGAGAGTGATAGACCTTGCCATTTATCAGCCTAAGCCTGAAAATGATGCAGGCCTTGTGGTATGCAGTTAGGATCAGGAATTGAGTGGGGGTTGGAATTTAGTGTTTGGGTAGAAATTTCAATTCACATCAACTACATTGCACAAAATATTCACAGCGGCTGCAGATCAAAAATGATTCTGCTTGGCAAATTGTGTGTGGGACCCCCATATAGTGAGTGATATAAATAAGATCAAAATGATCCTATGATTTGCATGAAGTAGTATTGGAACTACACCAGTGTCAGTCACATTCTTGATTAAAGATCTGAAATGGAAATCACAACAGCAAAGGAGGGAGAAAACAGTGGCCATGTTCTATGAAATTCCATAAAACGTGAATGAACTGATGAGACTGACAGAAAAGCAGGTAATTAGTGTCCTTAGGCAATGACAAAATACGAGGTAGCCGTCCACACAAAACAACAAAGCACACTGGTTTCCCAGACAGTATCAACAATATTTCATCCCAAGGACAATTCTACAGTTGAACAAGCTGCAAGGTAAATAGTCATTGAGCCCCATCACTTGAAATCTTCAACACTCATTTCTAGATTTTTTCTATTTATAAGTATTTTCAATATCATGATAACCATAACAGGTCAAGCCTCATTTAGCCAGGACCAACCATATACACATTGGTGGAATGAAGATATTAGTCTGTGTGCCAACATAACCAAAGCAGTCAAAAAAATGATTACCAATCCAAACAATTCAGGTTTGTACTATCTACAAGTTACTGAGCTATTAAGACATTATAGAGTCATACAACACAGAAACAGACCCTTCAGTCCAACCAGGCTATGCCAAACATAATCCCAAACTAAACTAGTCCCACCTGCCTTCTCCTGAACCATATCCCTCCAAACCTTTCATATTCATGTATCCATCCAAATGTATTTTAAACGTCGTAATTGTACCCACATCCATCACTTCCCCAGGAAGTTTATTCCACACACGAACCACCCTCTGTGTGAAAAATTTGCCTCGTGTCGTTTTTAAATCTCTCCCCTCTTGCCTTAAAAATGTGTCCCCTAGTCTTGAAATTCCCCATCTTAGGGAAAAGACAACTACCATTAACCCTATCTATACCTCACATTATTTTATATACTTCTATCAAGTCGCCTCGCAACCTCCTACACTTCAGCGAGAAAAGTCCCAGCCTATCCAACCTTTCCTTATAACTCAAACCTTCCATACAGGGCAACATCCTGGTAAACCTCTTCTGAACCCTCTTCAGCTTGATAATATATTTCCTATAACTGGGTGACCAGAACTGGTCACAGTATTCCAGAAGAGGCCTCACCAATGTCCTGTACAACCCCACCATGACTTCACAACTCCTATAGCGTTGGGGCATTTAATAGCGGTTTGGTTTCATCCACAATAAAACCATTATTTTAAAATAAGTCAGGTTACCTAAGCCACAAGCTTGACCAACTGTATTGAACCGTCAAGATTGGAGTTTCCAGAGTCCACTCTCACTGCTTCATCTTTCTGAGCAGGAAAAACATAATCATCACCAGAAATGATTTCTTGTATTAATTTGTTAGCAGTGTCTTCTTTACTAAATTAGACTCAAATGTCAGCCACGGCTCAGACAATAGCGTTCTTGGCACGGTTGTGGCTTCAACTTTCACTCGAGGATATGAGTGCAAAATCAAGGCTGACAATTCAGTGCAGTACTAAGGACAGTGTCTGCACATCAGCGACGTTTTTTTCTTTTTTAAAAATGAGCCATTAAACTGAGGCCCTGTCTGCATTCTCAAATGAATACATAAGCACCCTTGACACTACTCTGAAGATCAACAGAGGAGTTATGTCTAGTACCCTGGTCAATATTTAACCCACAATCAATGCTACAAAAATAATTATCCAGTCATTGTCATATTGCGGTTTGTGGGAACTAATGCACAAGTTGACTGTTGCATTTCCTGTATTACGACAGCGACTACATGGGACACAGACATCATGAAAGGACTATATGAATGTAATGTATTGCTTTTGCGTGGATGGAGTCTTTTCCCGAACAAAATCTCACACATCCAGCAGATACATCTGTGCCAAGCATCACTTACGTTCAGTCTCCCAGCACACTGATTTCTACATAATCCAACCTAGTTTTGTTCCTAAAACTGTGATTTACTAGTTGCTACTTACTCTACTCTATGGGTGTTCAACATCATGCCCTAACCTTTTAAAATCTCTTGCAAAGTCATGCAAATTTTATAAGATTCTTCTGTGAAGATGAACCTAACACAATTAATTATGCACACGCTTCACATTTCTAAATAGCAACAGCCATAGAAAATCTTTTAAATGTAATTACTTGTATTCCATCACCCAATTTTAGTGCAGCATTCAACGTAAATTTTACAGAATCCTCTGCTTTCATTTGAGAATAAAAGTGATGTCAACACATAGAATTTATTATCAGTGAGCACAGTTTAAACTCTGACTATGCACTTTGTTATCCTCAGACATTTGGTTTGAAAATCTAAAGGCCGTCCCCTAGCAATATCTATGCAGCTAATCCCAAACTACATTTCAGGCAATGCCACGTTGGTTAAGAACTGAATGAGACGACAGAAAGCCCTGTATTTCTCAAAACATGAGTCCGTGAGTAAAATTATAAGTCAATATTTGATCTTTTTTAACCTCAAACATTAAAAAAAAACCTTAAAAATTTCTCATTATTAAAATAATGTTTTACTGCTATCAGAAAAAGAATTAATTGCAGATCAGAATAGTTTGAGCAAAATGCCCATGGCATCTTCACTTCCAAATCACATTAACATTCAGTGACAAGATGTTAATGGTAACAGGTTTTGCCAATTTACAATACGTCAGTTAAGGGACAAATCAAAAATAATAAGGACCTTTCATTGATTCTTTTAGTCATGCCTTTCTTTTTCTCAAAAATCCAAGCATCTTAAAATATTATTCAAAGGGCCATTATCGACATCAAATATGTTTATTTCAAATATGGAAGTCAAACAGAAAATAAAATTTCCAATATTTCGACCTCAGACATCTACTGTATCAACGTAAATGTTATGAAAGTAGCTTCTGCTAAATGGCCTTTCCAATAATAGATTATCAAATAGAATATGATGTTTCACAATTATGTTAAGACTACATGAGTATAATTTTGTTCTGAATTAGCATAGCCAGAAAAGAAATTAGCTTCTGCGCCTGCGGTATATTCAAACCTCAGGTTCAGTGACTGCATACTCTACAATGTTAAAATTATGGAGTAAATGAATGTAATTTTCACATACAAAACATACTGAAAATAGACAAAAAGTAAAAACAAAATCCTCTGACTATAAAGTTCACTCAACTTTTCCTAAGTTCTATTCTTTCACACAAAGGAAAGAGCTTAAGGAAGGGCACTAACTGCACTACCTGCACCACTTCCCAAATAAATACACAGCCTCTAATCATTTTTATGAACATACTTTAGTGGTGAATACTTTTCAAAAAGTGAAATGTATTATTTAAAATTACCAGTAGACAGATGTCCAGTGGAAGATAAACCTTTCGTCGCATACAATGATAAGGAGTTGAACGTAGACACGTCACTATTCCTTGAGCTTTTCCAATATGACTGGCTGCATGATCCGCATGGATATCCTTTACACCTTTTAAAATTACCAACTATGTATTAATAAGAAACAGCAATTTGGAAGATTACCAAGAACAATTAGGCACCAAAGTGCAAGCAGGACATGGAAGAGATAGAGAATTACAGTGCATAACTTTCTCAGACGAAACTCTCATCCATGTTTATGACATCCTCAGATTTGCATTTTCTACTACTTTCCAGGCCAGCTTCCCAATCACTTCCAATATCAATTTATGCAAAACTCTGCTGCCTTATCCTATCCAATACCACATGCTGCTTAGCAATAAACACATTAGTCAAAAATTGACTTATTGACAATTTAATTTAAATTTTTAAACTTAATTCCTTGTGAACTGACACTTTCTATCTCATCATTATTGGCTGTGCTTTCAACTATCTTCACCCTACGCTTGAGAATTACCTCCTTAAAGCTTGTCCTCCTTCAAATGATGCTTAAAACCCACTTCTCTGATCAAGGTTTTAAAGCTCCTCCTTGATATTTTTTATGGATTGTCAGTGATTTCTGTCTGATTACATTTCTATGAAGGGCAGTACATTAAATTAATCCAAGCCTGATGCTGAAATACAAAACAAGGACAATTCTTTGTTAATAAGTTTATTCATAGGATGAAGTCTAACAGCTCTCACCACTTGAAGTTTACTTCACTCTAAATTGATTTTTTAAACGTCCTCTTATCTGGAGATGTTCATTTTTGTCATCTAGTATCATAACAGAAGTAGCATATTGAAAAGTGACATGGATTTTTGACCATTGGACCTAAACAATTTCAATACTGGAAATCTGACCATCTTACTCAAAATCTACAACCAAGTTCAGTTCTACTACATTCCTGATAATGAAGATGGCCTCAATTTCAAACAAAATTGTTACATTCCTCAAAATATACAACATCAAAATTGAAAATTATAGAGATGAAGAATTATTATAGATGGTTACATTTTCTTCAAAATATTTGAAATAAAGCATCAACACCAAACAGTTGGATGAGCTGGGATTTATGTAAGGCAGGAGATGGAAGATTAACTAAACAAGTTAGAGTATCTAAATCTGGAGTGACAAAACCATAGATAAGGGTTACATAGGAGTTGAAAAAGGGACCAAGACATGCAATTTTGAGGAGGGAAAGAACAGTCAGCCTGATTGTGGATAGAAAGGAGGTGAAGGCAGTGGAAAGAATTACATCAAAATTGCATCACAGACTTTGCAGCCTAACCAATCCACATCAACATTCAGGAGCAAATTATTCCAGATGCTAGAATCTGTGCTGAAACAACAAATGCAAACCAGACAGCATCCATGCAGAGAGAACAAGCTAACGTTTCAAGTCTAGTGACGTTCTTCAGTTTCACTTTATCCTTCATCTCAAAGGCTTGTTCTCTTTCTTTCAGACATCAAGGTGTGCAAGCTCTTGCAACTTATGGACTCCAGTATTCGTCCAGCTGTTTTATCCTGGATGGTGTGGAGCTTCCCGAAATGTTGCTGGCACTGCACTCACATGGGCAAGCCAAAGTTATTCTATTTCTGGCTTGTAGATGGTGAACATTATGGGAATTGAGAGGTGAGTTACTTTCTGCAGAATTCCTACCCTCTAACCTGCTCTTGTTGCCACAGTATAATCTGGAATACTTAATCTTGCATTTAGCCTAATCTTAAAATGTTTACATTGTGTCTACTTGTGGTGCAACGTGCAGCTTCATAACCCTTTGTTGAAGGATTTTATCTTCTCAGTCTTAAATCTTGTATATAGTGATATATTTATGTCTACATATTGTAGAGCCTGCAATCGGTGGGAACAGTCCATTTTTGACTGCCATTTCACCCTCTGATAACTTTAAATGCTTCTATGAAATATCTCAATCTCCCGTACTCAAACAAAAATGCAGCCTCAGTTTTGTCCTTGCTTTTCATCACAACATGCATCATTTTATTGAACGTGTGCTGAACACTTCTGATTTACACAAAATGCTTCATAAAATGTGGAGCCCAAAACTATACAGTGTATGCTGACAAAATCTTATTTCCATTTATATAGATGGAGCACTTCAGCTGACTAAATCTCATCAGGACTCTTTTGTGTTGATGGGAAAATATCTGAAAAGTCAATCTAATAAATCTAGACTTCCAACTGGTTCAGTTGAAGAAACAACACTTCAACTACAAATAAAACATGATTTATGAAGATAAATCTTACCTAAAACTTCTAATACGAGATAGATGAATGATGACTGAGCGTTTTCCGCGTAAGATTCCAGCTCCTGGATATTTCTAAATGCTTTCTCATTCAAATTCCTTTCCTGGAATTTATTATATTGGATTAGACTTAAATTGGATAATTCTGTCTGGTCATAATGAAAAATAAACTATAGCATTTTGCAGCAATGTAAAAATATTTTTCTAATGTATAGGGCAGAAGATGCATATTAGCGTTATATGTTTCTACAGTCAGTCTTCATGAGTTTAGGGCATCAGCCACTTGCAGTGACAAGAAAGTTGCTTTGCTGAACTATTTTATGCTTAGTCACTTGGTAGTGCAGACTTGTAATATTTAGAACATAAGAAAATTTATACTGTATTAGAAAAAAACTGATTGCTCGGTAAGTGGATTCTGATTGGTTGCCATGGAGAATGCAGCAGAAAACAGTTGCCCCCAAGGTTTTGTTTGATTGAAAGAGACAATGCCTGAAGATGTTATTTTTACTTGGAGAGGATGGGGTTTTGCATATGAAAATATATAAGTCAGTCACATTAGGAACCTGACTGATAACTTCAAACGGATTGTTCATGCATTTCTTAGTATGCTCAAAACTGTTCAGCAAGTATTGTTCAATCAAGGAATCAGGTCTAATGTCAGACACTATGTTTTGATAGTTTCAAGAGTGAATACAGTTAGACCTGTTTTGCTAACAGCCAACGGGATGTACAATGGATCTACCAATTGTTGGGATGTGCTGTCGACATACCTGGCACTAAAATTTATACACCACGTTGCTCACTTTTGTGGTAGGCAGAATGCTTTTTCGGCTTGATGGCAGCATCCCATTTGTATAGTAGCAACATGAAACAAATATCTTCATATTTCATAGCTCATTTTTTAAATACACCTTTCCCTTCTAAGGGAATTTGAGGTAGACTGGGCACTTTTCAGCCTTGAAACTGCTACCCTTTGGCCCATTTATAAGTGTACTTTATATACAGCGAGAATGTTCTGAATGGTTTAGCCATTATCCCTCAGGATCGCTGTGATGTGCCATTAACAGCCACCATCCTGCATTCAATTTCATGTTTGAAGTGGAGCAAGTTATCAAGGTCCCTTTCTTTGATGTGCTCATTGTGCATTCTGCTAACGGATTCTCTATTACTGTCTACTGCAAGCCTACCTTCACTGGTCAATATATTGGGCCTCCTTTAGCTCCACATACAAAAGTATTTACCTTATCAGCAACCTGGTAAGTAGTGCTCAAGGCATGTTCTCACCATGCAATTTTGATGCCAAAACAGGGCTTGTCTCTTCATCATTAGCTGTGATTATCTGAATGCAGAAAGTTTGTCTGTGTATGGCATATCAAAACCGATGGGGCTTATATTAATAGTCTCTGATTATCTAATGTCACTCCTGGTTAACTTAGCTTCTATGTACTTAAATAACAAAGTATATTTACCCGTTCCTCAATAATTCGCAGAAACCATCTCTTAGTCAGCTTGTGCTTTCTTACTGCCTATTAGATGAAAATAGAATTTCACAAGAATTATAAAAAAAAAGACAACTGTTCGCTTATTTAAATTTTCCTACAGTTCTGCTGCAACTTAGGTACATGCACAAGATGGTCAGTTTTGTAAAAGCAACTTATGCATTGATGCTAAATTTGCCAAATCAATTAGATTTGACCAGGCTAAAATATTGAAGGATTTGACAAAGTAGTTAAAGCTCTTGCTGTAAAAGGGATAATCACATCATGGATACAAAGTTGGGTGAGTGACAAATTAGTGGTGAATGCTTCTTTTTCAGGCTGGAATACTGTGGAATTTCCCAGGGGTCAGTATTAGGACTACGACTTTGCTTAGCATACAGTAATAACCAAGTCTTGGGTGACAATTTTCACAATTTCAAAATTTGTAGATTGCAAAAAACTGTGTATCATAAACTGCAAATAGGATAGTGATGGATTTCAAGAGGTCATAGGGTGGTATGGTCTGGATGGTCATGGGGCAAATGAAATTTAATGTGATGATGTGTGAAGTGATACAATTTGATGGGAAGAATGAGGACAGGCAATATAAAATAAAGCTTTTGATTCTGAAAACAAGAGGAGGAACAGAGGGATCTTGTCATATATGTACAGAAATTATTGAAGGTGGTAAGGCAGGTTAAGAAAGTGGTTCATCGATCATAAGTGATTCTAGAATTTATAAATAGAGTATATATACACAAGGAAGTTTTGGCAAACTATGAAAGATGCTGATTTAGCCTCAAGTGAAATATTGTGTACAATGCTGGACACTACACTTGAGGAAGAATACGAAAGCTTATAGAAGATGCAGAAAAGATTAAAAGGAATGGTTGCAGGAACGAGGGACTTCGAAAAAATTTCTTCGTGGGATCTGGGTATCACTAACTAGGCCAACATTTATGGCAGACTGGTACAAAAGATGAATTCACATGGTATCAGGGGTAAGCTAGCAAGATAGATACAGAACTGGCTTAGTCATAGGAGACAGAGGGTAGTAGTGGAAGGATGCTTTTCGGAATGGAGGGTTATAACTAGTGGTGTTCCAGCACTGATTCCTGTGGAACCTCTGCTGCTCACGATCTACGTAAATGATTTGGAGAAAAACGTAGTTGGCCTAATTAATAAGTTTATAAAGGAAGATTATACAAATTTTTTTCTCTAGAATTTAGAAGGTTACAGGGTGATCTGTTCAAAGTATTCAAGATATTAAAAGCAAAAGTCAGGGTAGAGAAAGTAAAACTATTTCCACTAGTTGGGGATTCTAGAAATAGGAGACAGAGTGTAAAAATTGGGGCCAGACTATTTAGGAGTGATGTTAGGAAGCACTTGTGCACACAAAGGATGGTAAAGGTTTGGAACTCTCATCCTCAAATGGCAGTGTTTGCTAGATCTGTCGTTAATTTTAAATTTGAGATAAATAAACATTGCTTAACCAAAGGTATTAAGGGATAAGGGTCAAAGGCGGGTATGTGGAGTTAGGCCATAGATCATCCAGGATGAGTTCCACGATTTGGATCCAGCAAAAGTGAAGGAACTGAAATTTAGTCCCAAATAATGATGGTGCGTGACTTGGAAAGGGAACTTGCATCTCTGACGTTCCTATGTATCTTGATTATAAAGATCACAGGTTTGGAACATGCTGTCAAAGGAACCTTGATATGTTACTGTTGTGCATCTTGTAGATGGTGCACACTGCTGTGAGTGTATATTGGCAGTGAAGGGAGTGAATGTTGAAAGGGTTAGATGTTGTGCTAATCAAGTGGGATGTTTTGAACTGGACGGTTCCAAGCTTCTTGAATATTGTCAGAGTTGCATCCATTCAGGCAAGCGGACAGTATTCCATCACACTCCTGACTTGTACCTTGTAAATGGCAGGCAGGCAGGCTTTGGAGAAATAGGAGATGAATTTCTTGGCACAGAATTCCCTGCGCCTGACCTGCTCTTGTAGTCACAATATTTGCATGGCTAGTCCAGTTCAGTTTCTGGTCAATGGTTGTAGCCTATGGAGATATCAACAGGACTTGGATAGATTGTAGAAGCTGGTTGTTTGCCTTAGAGTAGATGAAGAAGTGATTTGATTGAAGTTATCAAAATCATGAGAAATTTGGACAGAATAGATAAGGAGAAACTGTTTCCTTTGGTAGAAAATTCAAAAACCGGAGGCAATGATTGAAAGTAATTAGTAAAAGACTAAAAATTCATGGGGAAAACTTTTTTTTTAAAAAAAGGATCTGGAATGCACGCTCAGATATTGTGATAGAGATGGAGTTGATTGTAACTTTCAAAGCGGAATTTGATGATTGTGTTTGGAAAGAACAATTGCAAAGATACAGGGAAAAGGCAGGGATAGGATGAGCTGAATTACTCATGCAGAGTTGCCACAGACAAGGGGCTGAATGCCTCCTTCAGTGCACTCATCATTCTAAATTTCCACTTTAATTGTTTTAAATATATTATGGCTGTATATTTGCTTTCCAGCTGTCATGTTTTGTTACTCTGTCAACTTTGTACACATTTAAATTGACACACTGCAATGACACAATTTACCCACTGGGTGAATGAACTGGGTGTTCACTGCTTATTCACACAAGTGATAATATCACATAAGCAATTTTGTTCAATGTTTGTGATTCTAATTTTCAAAAGCTTTTACCCCTTCAGAGTTTATGATTTATGTGGTTTTTAAGTTTAAAGTAATAAGTTGCTACTTGCTCAAAGTTCTAACATTTACTCGCTAGCTTTCCTACTTGCCACTAGTGTTTCTGTCAACTTGTTACCAACTACCAATGCTTCCACAATGCTTGTTCTGTCCCTCTCATTATTAACATGAAAAATAAAAGAACCTTATGTTAAAATGTTAGCATAAGGGGAAACGAAGCAGAAAATTAACATCATCCCCTTAGTAGCAAGTAGCAATAATAACAATGGCATGACTGGAAAAATGTGAATTTGGAACAGATGTTTCTTGATGTCCAAGGAAAATGGAATTTTTTTCACTTCTCGCTGGCCTGAGAATTTAGAAAATGGGGACAGTTTTGGCAGAAAGGGTTGATTATTTCGCACTGAGACGAGAAGAAATTCCTTCTCATTAAGCCTCGAAATTCTCAACCCCTGAATATTTTGGATTTGTCAGCATACTCAGCTGAGATAAATCCATCTTTAATTTCAGGGAGTCAAAGCATATGGAAAGCAAGAGGAAAAAGTTCATTTGAAGCCCAAGGTCAGTCATAATCTTACTCAGTGACAAAGCAGGTTTGACAGAATGCCCCCATCTTTTACTTTCTGATGTTAAGTCCTGGGTAACCCACAAAAAAAAACAAAACAACTTTTTAGACTGACAAGAAGTGTTAATGGATAAAGTTCAGTTCAATTTTTTTGCAAAGCAACAAGTGGGGGTTGAAGTAAAGCAGCTCAAATTTCAGATGAATGAGAGAGAGAAGAGAGAGAGAGAGAGAAAAAGAGAGAGAGACGGTGCTGAGTTTAATCTGAGGCTCACCACACTTTAGGTAAGGGGTGAGGCTGAGAAAGAAGAACTTTTGTGGTGATCTCAGTCACTCTACATCACAAACCAGCCATCCATCAACTGAGTTAACTGATACACTGCATGTACCTGTTACAATAAAAATAAAAAGCTGAAAATACTAAGCAGTATTGCTCCATCTGGTGTAGGTACAACAACAGTACTTGCAGTTTTTTGAGCCAGTGACAACATTCCATCAGAGGATGGTATGTAACTAGAAGGGAAACATGCATGTAGCAGTATTCCCATACATCTGCTGCCATTGTCCTTCTTGGCTATAAAAGTTGAAAGTTTGGAAGGTGATGCTGGAACAACCTTGGTGAGTTGCTGCAGTGCATCTTGGAAGTGCTGTCACTGCACTTCAATGGTGGAGGGAGGGAATATTACAGGTAGTAGGTGGGATGCCAATGTTGCTGCAGCCTCACTCATCAGGTAAAGAGTGGATATTCTATCACACCCCTGATTTTTCCCCCAATTGGGACAGGCTTTGATCACTGACTGGCATCTGAAGCAAGTGCATGTTACCTACGACTTATCAGCTCAAAAACCTGATATTGGCTGCACACGTACATGAATAGCTTCAGTATCTAAGAAATCAGGAATGGTACTAAATGGTACTAAACATTGAGCAATCAGGGAATATTGCCACTTTTGACCTAACAGTTGTTAATGAAGCTGCTGAAAATAAGATGATTGATTTCCAACAACCACAAACATCTTGTTTGGTGCTTCAAATTTCCCCCGATCCTCATCAAATTCAGCGCTGCTAACTCTGCCCCACCTAGACAAATAATGCCTTGATGTCAAGGGTGGTCATTTTTACCTCATCTCTGTAGTTCAGATCTTTTGTCCATGTTTCGACCAAGGTTGCAATGAGGTCAAAGCTGCATTCCTTTGGCAGATCCAAATAAAATAAAAATCAGTGAGCAATTTACTAATTAGTAAGTGTCACCTGATAGCATTTTCTATCACTTTGCTCATAATTTAACAGCAGACTGAGAAGCACAGGGCACTCCTGGGTAGTTTTGCACATTGCCAGGTAAATTCCAGTGTGGTAGCTGAACTGGAACAGCTTGGTTAAGGATACAACTAGTTCTGGAACACAAGTTTTCAATACCATAGTCAGAATATTGTCAGAGCCCAGAGGCTTTGCAATATCCGGTGCCTTCAACCATTTTTTGACATAGTATGGAATGAATCAAATTGGTATGGAATGAATCAAATTGGTTGAAGAGTGGCAAATGTAATGCTGGGGCCTCATGTGGAAGTTGAGATGGATCATCTGCTTGGCACTTCTGGTTGAATACAGTTGCCAATGCTTCAGAGATAGTAAGAACTGCAGATACTGGAGTCAGAGATAACAGTGTGGAGTTGGAGGAACACAGCAGGCCAGGTAGCATCAGAGCAGGAAAGTTGACATTCCGGTCGGGATCGTTCTTCAGAAATGCTTCAGCCTTGTTCTTTGCAATGATGAGATGGGCTTACCATCATTTATGATACTACTTCCTCCAGTTAGTGGTTTAATTATCCATCACCATTCACAAATGGATGCGGCAGGACTGTAGAGTTTAGATTTAATGCATTGGTAGCGAGCTGCTTAGCTGTCCATTGCATGCTCCCTTTTGTTGTTTGCCATGCAAATAATCCTATTTTGTAGCTTTACCAGGCTGACATTTCATTTTTAGTTGTGCCTATTGCTGCTCCTGGTATCCCCTCTGCACTTTTCACTGAACAATGTTTGATTCCACCAGATGATAACAATGGCAGAGTGAGAGATGAACAGAACCATGAGGTTACAGATTGTGCTGAATACAGTTCTGCTTCTGCTGATGGTTGACAGTGCCTCGTGCATGTCCGGTTTTCAGTTGTTAGATTTGTTTGATATCTATCCCATGTAGCATCGTGTAGTATCACGTTATGATGAAGGGTATCCTCAATGTGAAGAGATTCTTCACCTTCACAAAGGTAGTTGTCACCCGTACCAATTGCATGATGGTCAGATGTATCTGCAACACACAGATTAGTGAGGATGAAGTCACGTACATCTGTTCCACTTATGGTTCTCTCAACATCAGCCTACCAGCTACCTCCTTCCAGACTCAGCCAGCTCCACTGTAATCATGCTATCAAGTCAATCTTGGTTATGGAAATTAAAGTCTCACTCAGAGTAGCTTTTGTGCCTTTGACATCAATGGACAGGCAGGGGGCAATGTTCAGGACACTAGGGGAATTCCTTCTTGACTGTACACCACTGTGCTGCCATATCTCGTGTCAGTGGAACAGGGCATACCTAGAGATGCTTATGGTGGTGTATGTGACAGCACCAGGTATGATTTGGTGAGAATAACAATGTCAAACTGTTGCTTGACTAGACTGTAGATAGTTCTTCAAATTAAGGCACAAAGCCCACAGATTTAAGCAAGGAGGACTTTGTCGGGTCAAAAAGCTGGGTTTGCCATTGTCATTTCAGGTGTTGTATCTAATTTCACTACTTTAATCTTTGTAGCAGTTTATTTGAGTAGCATGCCAGACCACTTCAGAGGGCATTGAAGAACCTACCAAACTTCTCTGCATATGCAATTACAGGTAGGTCAAATGAAGTTAGAATAGCAGATTTCCTTCTCTAGACAACATCAAAGAACTAGATGAGTCTTTAATGACAATCTGAAGAAGTATTTAGATGAGCATTTCGAATGCCACAAAGCTCTGGACCAAGTACTGAAAGATGGGATTAGAATAGTTAGATGCTTCATGACTAGCATTGACATGATAGGCTGAAAGTTCTCTTTCCATGCTGCAAAATTTTATGACTCTATGATAATCAATATTGGTTTCATGGTTTCCCTCATCATGACAGATTTTCATAAATTGAATGTAAATTTCGTCAGTTGTTTTGGTGGGATTTGAACCTGTGCCCCAAGAACATTAGTCTTGGCCTTGGATTATGTGATTTCAGATATACTTGGCAGTATCCTTCAAGTACTCATTCGACTTTCCTAGACCCCTCTGAAATGATTCTTAGTTCCTCGAGCTTCTTTCTTTGCTCAGCCTGTTAAGTTTTAACTGCAGAACTAGCTTTCATGGTAAGGGCATTTCTCTCCCCGCCAAACGCCCCTCCCCCTCGCGATAGCACAAGCCAGGTGAATCTATCATGTATTTGGTCTTTTCAATCCAGGTGCAAGCTCCCATGCACATTTCTACATGGTGAGTCAGACAGACTTTGTCTCTGTTCCCTCTCATGTGGGTCTGACAAACGATCTGATATTTTCATGGATACCTTAGGAACTCTGACACTCAGTTGCCCATCTCCATGAAAACATGAATCAGATCAGTCATCTATTCACATAAAACACTGATTAGACCCCAGTTCTATTTTTTCTTGTAACTGCATGTACAAGAGCATAATTTAGCATAACCATTTACAATCTGACATTCTCAATCGTTTCCAGAAACTGTGGAGTCTATAACTCACACCATTATAAGCACAGATTCTGCTGTCATTATCTCCAAACATATACCATCTTCCCAGCAAAACAATTTGGGCCTTCCATTTGTCTTCATCAGATGTCAGAACACTCACACTACTCTCTTTGTTTAACCTAAATTAAATACACATGGTGAAAACATAACATTAAAAATGAAGTTTTATAAGATTAAGTCAAATTTGAGAATAACCACTCAGCAAATTCAGTGAGCACTCAGTGAATAGCCATTTCATATGAACCAAGAAAGACAGAATACAATAGCTTTCAGTGTCCAAATTAAGGAAATTGAGGTGTAAAATTCAACTTGAGTTTCCACTCCTGATTACTATCAAGGGAATTCTGCTGGAAACTCACGTGTCAATATCCAAGGACAGTAGAGAGCAAAGACTCAGTAGTGATTGTTTCTATTATACAAAGTACCGCCAATATTTAGCTCATTAAGGTTAATTTACTAATAATGGTCAATTGAATAAAGGTGCCAGAGAGTAAGTTTTACCCATAGAATCATATTGCTGAGAATACTTCAGTATTCTTCTTTCAGTACGGCTTCTTTCCAGAGCAACTTGCTCCAAACTCTCTGCCACAGATTCCACTGAAATTTAGCAAGAACATTATTACATGAAACTTTAACTTCAAGACTTCCACATTACAATTCAAATGCATGAAGGACAAACAATTTTTAAAGCTGATCTACCTTCCACAATTCGATGGCAATGGGTTGGTGAGGAGGATTATCACTGTAAATGTTTTCAATCACTTGCCTCCAAAACTGCATCCTCATCAGACCTATTGTCTTCTGAGATACTAAATCTTGAACCTTATGAAAAATAAAACCAAGGCAAAAAGTGAGAAAACAGAATTAAGATTACGTTGTACAGAGTGGAGTGTATTAGCTAAAATAAACATAATCTTGACTCATATTGTAATTAATTATAATTTCCTATACTTTTGCACACAAAGTCAAGATCAAGTGCAATCCACATTAAAAAGTAAGATGACGGGGAATAATTAAGCTGAAGCAGAGGAATGGGAAAGCAAAGTCAAAACAAAATAGCTCAGCTTGGAACAAAGTGTTAACTTCTCTGAATAAATGGAAATAGCTGTAGAGACCTTCAAGCATGACTTGACAATCATGATCGCGTTTTAAAAATGGACATATGTAATCTGAATTGACAAGGTGATTTCTTTTCTGAAATGGCACCAATCAATCACAATAGCATTCTTACATTGTTTTCTTGACCAATAGGTGGAGGAACCAACTAGACAGCTGGTTATCTTAGACTGGGTACTGCGTAATGAGAAGAGAATCATTGCCAATCTAGCTGTGCAAGACCCCTTGGGGATGAGCGAGCATAACATGACACAATTTTTTATCAAGATGGAGAGTGAGGTTGTTGATTCGGACACTAGAGTGCTGAATCTTAATAAAGGAAACTATGAAGATATGGCCTTGATAGATTGGGGAGAGTTACTTAAAAGGATGACAGTGGACGGGCAATGGCAAACATTCAAGGAACACATGGGGGAACTACAATAACTGTTTATTTCTGTCCGGCATAAATGCAAAATGGGTAAGAGTGCAAATCCATGGCTTACAAAGTAGAGATAGTATCTGATCCAAGGAAGAAACATACAGATTGGCCAAGAAAAATAATATGTCTGAGGATGGGGAGCAGTTTAGAATTCGGCAAAGAAGGACCAAGGGACTGATTAAGAAGGGGAAAATACAGTACGAATGCAAGCTTACAGGAAACATAAAGAATGACACTAAGAGTTTCTGTATGTACGTGAAGAGAAAGAGTGAAGACAAATATAGGTCCCCTACAGACAGAAATGGGGGAATGTATAATAGGGGACAAAGAAATGGCTGAACAACTGAATACATACTTTCAGGTTCTGTCTTCACAAAACAGGACATAAATCAGATACCAGAAATGTCGGAGAATACAAAATTACTGAAAGGGAAGAAGAGGGAGATCAATATTAGTAGAGAAATGGTGCTGGGAAAATTGACAGGATTGAAGGCGGATAAATCCCCCAGGGCCTGATAACCTACATCCTCGAATACTTAAAGTGGCTCCAGAAATAGTGGATGCATTGGTGATCATCTTCCAGGATTTTATAGACTCTGGAACAGTCCCTGCAGATTGGAGGGGAGCTAATGTCAACTCCAAAATTCAAAAAGGGAGTGAGAGAGAAAACAGGGATTACAGACCAGTAAGCTTAACATCGGTAGTAGGGAAAATTCTCGAATCCATTATCAAGGATTTTAAAGCAGAGCATTTAGAAAGCAGTGACAGGATCAGACAGAGTCAGCATGAATTTATGAAGGGGAAATCATGCTTGACAGGTCTGTTTGAATTCTACGAGTAGCAGTGACAAGAGAGAGCCAATGGATGTGGTATATTTGGACTTTCAGAAAGTGTTTGACAAAGTACCGCATAAGAGATTGTTGTGTAAGATTAAAGCATGTGGGACTGGGGGAAATATACTGAGATGGATAGGAAACTGGTTGGCAGAGAGAAAACAAAGAGTAGGAATTAATGGGTCCTTTTCAAATTGGCAGGCAGTAACTAGCAGGATGCCACAGAGCTATTCACAATATTCACGATGATTTGGATGAGGGAACAAAATGTAACATCTCAAAGTTTGCAGATGGTACCAAGTTGAGTGGGAGGGTGAACTGTAATGAGAATGCAGAGATCCTTCAGCATGATCTAGACAGGTTGGGTGAGTGGGTAAATGAATGGCAGATGCAGTATAATTCGGATAAATGTGAGGTTATTCACTTTTGAAGCAAAAACAAGAAGGCAGATTACCAAGGAAGGGTCACCGGATCCGAAATGTTAACGCTGATTTTTTTCTTCACAGATGCTGCCAGATCTGCTGATCTTTTCCAGCAACTTCTGTTTTTGTTCCTGAAGGCAGATTACTACCTGAATGGTTGTAAATTGGGCGAAGGGAGTGTGCGGTGGGACCTGGGTGTCCTTGTGCACCAGTCACTGAAAGTAAGCATGCAGGTGCAGCAGGCAGTAAAGAAGGCAAATGGTACGTTGCCCTTCATTGCAAGAGGTTTCAAGCACAGGAGCAGGGATGTGTTGTTGTAGTTATACAAGGCCTTGGTGAAGCCACACCTAGAACATTGTGTGCAGTTTTGGTCTCCTTTTCTGAGGAAGGATGCTGTTGCTCTCGAGGGAGTGCAGCAAAGGTTTACCAGGCTGATTCCAGGGATGGTGGGACTGACGTATGAGGGAAGATTGACTAAGTTAGGATTGTTTTCACTGTAGTTCGGATGAATGAGGGTAGACTAGGCAGGCTAGATGCAGGGAGGATGTTCCCGACAGCAGGAGTGTCCAGAATCAGGGGTAATAGTTTGAGGATTCGGGGTAGATCATTTAGGATGGAGATGAGGAGACGTTTCTTCACCCAAAGAGTGGTGAGCCTGTGGAATTAATTACCACAAAAAGTAGTTGATGCCAAAACATTGAATGTATTCAAGAGGTGGCTAGATATAGTACTTGCGGCGAATGGGATCAAACGTTATTGGGAGAAAAGAGAATTAGACAATTGAGTTGGACAATCAGCCATATTCGTGATGAATGGCACAGCAGCCTTGAAGGGCCTAATGGCCTCCTGCTGTTCCTATCTCCGATGTTTCTACGTTTCTACTTGGATTTCCAGAAGGCATTTGATCAGGTTCCATGTGAAAGGTTATAGCATAAAATAAAAGCTCATGGTGTAGTGAGTAACATATTAGCATGGATACAAAATTAGCTGGCCAGCAGAAGATGGGGGAACGCATAGATATATATTTTTCTGATGAGCTGAATGTGCTGCATGGAGTCCTACAGAAGTTTGTGCTGGGGCCACAACTTGTTACAATTTACATTTTAGGCTTAGATGAGGGAGGAAAAGATATGATAGTCAAATTTGCAGTAAACTCAAAGAAAGGAAGGTAGGCAAGTATGTTGGGAAGAAAACACAGGAATTGCAGAAGAATATAGATAGATTGAGGAAGTAGGCAAAAATCTGACGATTTGCTGGTAAAATATTTTGACTTCCTTAAAACATCTGCTACAGTCTCCTCTATATTTTGTTAAGTAAGAAAAATGCCTTTCATGACCACATATTTTCCAAAGCACAATACAATCAATGAAATACATTTGAAGCATAGTCACTGTTGTAATGGTTTTAATCTTACTTATGCACAGTAATCACTTCCAAAATAAAAAAAACTGTTGCATACTTAGATATATTGCACTTCATATCATCTGGAGATGCTGGCTGCTATTCAATTAAGCTTACATGACAACAGAATTTTCTAATTCATGTTATGACATTACTAAAATGTCAGAATCATTTATTTTAAAAACAAACACTTGTAACAGATCTATGAAAATACTTACCTGAGCCAACTCCACATTGAATGCTCTTAATGCGAACACTGAGTTACGGAATTCAGCAGGAAGCAGCAGAGAAGACAGGAAACCTTCATAATCTCGATTTCTATGTGGAAGAAGACCACTGACACATCAGGATAGGCTTTACTCATTTTATTCAGAATATAAATACTGACAGCACCAAAGAAACACAGCAGGACACCTGAAGACATGAATAAAATTAAAAGCAAATTACTGCAACTTCTGGAAATTTGAAATAATAACGGAATGTGCTGGAGAAACTTAGCAGGTCTGGCAACATCTGTGTAGAGAGAAAGAAAGTTCAATGTGAGTCTTCTTCAGAACTGACTTGACCTGAAGTCTGACTCTGTTCTATTGATGTGGTGGCAAGATTTGCTGGCAAGAAATAATGTATCAAAAGTTCCAAACAATCTTCACCTGTCAGGCTATTTCTGCATGCTTCAATATGATGTAAATTAAATTTAAGAAGTCATTAGCTATAAAATTCTAAAGAAGTCACTGGAGTTGAAACACTGTACGGGATTTAAAGAGAAGAACACGTTATGTCTTCGGATGAGAGAGTGCCATCAGGATCATACCTGCTATCCCATTTCAAAGTGAGTCTGAAATCTCCAAACTCAACCTTTCTCTTTACCGAGTCCAGGGTGTGGAAAGAGAAATGACGATTTGACAAAACTTTTCAAAATTTCTTATTAATTTCTTCAAAAGTAAATGAGATCAGAACTAAAATTAACCAGTAAATTCATAAAGACAATTAATCATTTTTTAGCAATTATTCATCAAATACAGACTATAATTAATTCTACAGTCCAACATCCAATAGTAAAATCAAACCATGCATCCTAACCTCTGTTGGCCACCTGTTCACTTCGAAATCTATTTCAATATAATTAAAATCTCGCAGTCTCTCACACTTCTCTTGTGTATGCGTCCTCAAGCAACACAGTGAAGCAAGCCTCGGACACAATGATCAATTGCACATCAAGTCTAGATTTTAATATTTAAGCAAAATTATGAATTTAATATTTAAACTAAATTTAAATTATTAATATAAATGGCAGCAGCAGTAAAGAATAAAATAACCGATTACATTTTAGCACACATCGTCTCACTCTCAGCTCTATTGTTTGCAACCTCTTGTAATTATTACTGAATAATTTTCTGTTATTTCTTCTTCCAGTCTGATCTTAACTGCCTTTAAGGACACCTTAAAGCTACACCACCTTGCACTGGGCATCTTTACATTTTGGACAATTTTTTACAAGCTGTACCTGATTACAGATATAGAACCCTGAAAAGGTTTCCTTAGTGACACTGGTGACATAAAATTTATTCACAACACTGTGCACAGTACATATACAAGCACATTCTTATTTGATTG